CTTAAAAAATACAATTGTTTATAAATGTTGCTTTGATAGATGTTTGAATATGGTTTACAGTAACAAAAAAGCGTGTTGTGATTGATTAAATGCGCTGATACGTCATTGTGCTGCTAAACACATAAAGCAGAGTGGAGTGGTGGACCGCTCCAAGATGGCCGCCCTAAATCTCGTCAGCGACAATAGGCGAGAGCGGTCCATGAGGGTCAATCCTTATATTATGTCTATGGTTCAACACGCCTGCATCTCTCCACCCCTGTCCCGGCCAGAAGACGTCCCACTGCCTGGCTCCGCCCCTTCACGCCCATCTTCCTCCATGTCCACCAGTCTCTGCAGGTACTTGATGTACCTGATGGCGGCGCGCAGCGTCTCCACCTTGCTGAGCCTCTTGTCGGCGCTGTGGCCCGGCAGGTGGTCCCGCAGCTTGGCGTAACCCTGGTTCACGCACTTGACGCGCTGCCGCTCCCGCTCGTTACGCTTCTGGATGAATGCCGGCTCGAACGGGCACTCATAGACGCTGAAGTGCCCGTGGTGGTGGAAGGGGGACAGGTAGGGCAGGATGCCGGCGGGACCCCTCAGGGGGCCCTTGTACAGGCTGAGGGCAGCGGGGTCCACAGCGGGGGGGTAGAACAGGAAGGGGACGGAGGCGGAAAGAGACTCGGAGTGCTGGGTTCTGCTCCGGTCTTCCCGGCCAGCAGGGGGCGACGCAGCGAAACGGTCGAAGAGCGACTGAGAGAAGGCGGAGCTCATCGTACAATCGAGCAATCAGGAGCGAGGACACCTGACTGGATCAGAGAAGCTTCATGATGGTCACCTGTGAAAAGACAGAGGGATCAGTTTACAGCATCTCCACCAGGGGGCAGACATGAGCTCCGAGGATGAGGAGATTACCTTCACGAAGCAGGAAAGTACGACGATGCATTTTTTTTTGCCCACATGAGACTCATATCGAAAGCAATTAATTGTGTGGTAAATTAAAAGGAGCTCAATAATTTATCGTTTTTCTCTTTCTACTGAAAACTGGATGACTAAAGTCTTCAGTCTGGAGCTTTGGTGTGATGTTTTGTTTACAGATACTCAATAATTAATTATTTATTTTATTTATTTATTTTTTGTTTCTTCCAAAGTAAAGTATTTATTTACTTTGGATATTTAAAAGACGACGGAGGGGACCCTGGCGGTCTGATCCTCTGCTGCAGAAGCTGGCTCTTGGGACATGGAACGTCACCTCTCCGGGCACGTCCCACCCGGAGGAGGCCCCAGGGAAGTCCCAGGACACGCTGGAGGGACGATGTCTCTTAGCTGGCCTGGGAACGCCTTGGGGTTCCTGGAGGAGCTGGAAGAAGTGGCTGGGGAGAGGGAAGTCTGGGCCTCCCTTCTGAAGCTGCTGAATGTGTTATTGTGACAAGCCTAACTGTATCTGACATTTTCACTGCAGTGTTAACGGCCCAGTTCCGATCTTTTCCACTTCAAGATGTGCAACTAAATATTTCATAGCTTTCAAAGAGTCTGCTGTCTGAATGGTCATGTTGCATTTTATCCGACTTTTATGTCATTAACAAGAGACATGCGTTTTAATTTGGTAAATATGGACGCAAAGAATGGCTGGAAATAATAACGAACTGGTGATCTGGTGACCATGCTGTCTTTTATAACTCTCAACAACTTAAAAAAGAAGGCGGTGGCCGTCTTTACTGCAGTAAATTGAGCGCTGCTGGGAGATGGCTACATTCTTCTTCTGTTCATGCAGAAACCGTTCACACATAGGTCTGACGGCGATTGCATTTAATTAGTAGTAGGAATGACCATGCAGAAAAATGGGGATTTCAGCAAAAAGTAGGAAACTAGCAGCCGGCAAAGCTGGACCAGTACCAGTTGAACTTCCTCCGCACAGACAGAGGAAAGTCAGTATTGGACAACTGCACCAAATAATTTCCTCTTCCTGCTCAGTTTCTATGACAACCATTAGTTACTGTCTGCATGCTGACTGGTTGCACCATCACAAACATCAACTCTACTGGTCTTTAACTAGACCATCAGGACGTACCAGGAGATGCGAGTGTCCAGTTGAGATGTTCAAATCTTAAAGTTTCTCCAAGCTAAAGACTTGACGACCATCTACAGAACTAGGATGCACTGATAAATCGTCCTGGGAGATCGGTAATCAGCCGATACTTAACCCTGAAGCCGATCTCATTCAGGTCTAAAAATCAGCCACTGTTACCAATACAGCAACTTTCTGGCTATATTTTGCAACATTTCAGACAAAAAAAATTAGCATCAGCCAAAATTGGAATCATTAGATCAGTCAGTCAGAAAACTGGAATTTCTATACAGAACCAGAACCAAAAACTGTTTCATCAGGAATCTGCTGGTTCCTCTGAGAACCTTTGAAACATTTTAAGCTCATCTCAACCCAAATCAGAAGTGTTTAGTTTAGAGAAGATGTCCTCAGAAATAAAATGTAAATCAGAACCAGATGATTGATTTGTCCTGTTAAATTGTCCTGCTAATTATAAATGGAACCGCCCAGAACCTCACAGAACCGCCTGGTGTCTCACCTTCAGATGGAGCTGCAGCAGATCCTCCTTCAGTTCCTCTGGGTCTCTGAGTTCAGGATGGAAAGATCCGACTTTACCTGCTGAAGCTCCGCCCTCACAGGTGCGTGTGTGTGTGTGTGTGTGTGTGTGAGTGTGAGAGAGAGAGAGAGAGAGAGAGACTGTCAGGTTGGAAACCAAACATCAGATTCTGCAGGTTTTTCTCTGACGAACATTCACTGCTCTGATCAGACGTTTCATGGTGAGAACCTCCACTTTGGTATTGACAAGTCCTCCCAGTGAGTCCCAGTATGTTCCAATGTCTCCCAGTCCTCCCAGTGTGTCCCAGTACGTTCCAGTGTCTCCCAGTGTGTCCCAGTATGTCCCATTGTCTCCCAGTCCTCCCAGTGTTTCCCGGTCCTCCCAGTGACTCCCAGCGTGTCCCAGTCCTCCCAGTGTCTCCCAGTTGGAGTGATGTTCACATCAAAGCAGCATGCTCCACAGAATGAGTGTTTGCAGTTTCCTCTCCCTAAATCCCGATATTCCAGATGAAAGGCGTCAGACACACACACCCTTCCTGTCATCACACGTCTGCTGGCACCGCACACGCTGATGACTGTTTACACACACACCTGCAACCTGACACTCACCTGCGCTGATCCCAGTCTGCAGGTGAGGACGGAAGCTCTCATTAAGGTGCTCAGAGTGCCGTCTGATCTGAGGTCAGTCGTTAGCGGCAGGAAGTCCAGCATCTTCCTCAGGCGACTTTACATGAACCAGTTCTGAATCTCTCAGTCTCAGATATGGCCAGATGAAGGTATATGCAAGTTATTTTGCTGCTTAGGGCCCCCCCACACCACCAGGGGGCACGCAAGAGCAAATATATATTCATATATTAAACATAATATTGAAAAATACAAACTAAATGCTGTCACACATGGAAAAACATTTTTTTTAATTTGGCACATAAATCATATGCTGATCATTGCAGGCAAGTTACTTGAATCAGTCTGCGTATTGGTTTACAAGCTACTGCAGTCCAAAGTTTTAAATGTTAGCATATATAAATATAACAATATAAAAATAAAACACACAAGTGTGAAATTACAAATAATGTAAATTAATAAATTAAATAAATAATGGAAGTATGTGAATCTACACAGCTTAGGAATGATGACGATCTGGTGTTGACCTGTTGGCATGGGAACCCCCAAATGAAAATTTGTTCAGGGCCCCAGAAAGGCTTGGGCCAGCCGTGTGTGACCTCCTAAGAAACAAACTTCATCAGCTTCACTCTGAGTCAGTGTGTGTGTGTGTGTGTACTTGTATAGCTATGAGGACATTTTGCCTTGTCCTCACAATTTAAAAACAGAGTTTATGGATTAGGGAAGGGTTTTTCAAAGTGTGGACCGCAACCCCGTGGAGGGGCAACAGGCAAAAAAAAGAAGAAAAAATGTAATCCAATAGATTTTTAACTCGTAAATCTAAAAATTTTCCTTGATAAAATGTAATCCGATTTTTACAACGGAGTATTAGGGCTATGCTAAGAAAAAAAAAGTAAAATTACAAGAATAACGTCATAATATTATGACTTTAATATAATGGCTTTATTCTTGTAATTTTACTTTATTTTAATATGGCCCCATTACCCCATTGTTTTTAATCCATTTTATGTAGATGTAGCATTTCAGGCAATAAAATATTTATTCCCAATTAAAAATGGAATTGAATTGTTAGCTTGTTAGCTATTGTTGAATTTAAATTTTTAATGTATTTCTAATATTGTATAAAAAGGCTTAAGAGGTTAAGTGAAAAATCTGCAGAATGTGGGAATTTTTTTTATCTGTTTACTTGGTTAATCAGAATAATCAATAGAATAACTGATTAATGAATTAATCATTAGTTGCATCGCTAAATATATCTAGCAAAAAATAAAAATATTTTCTCATGGTTTATATGTTTTATTCTGTGACTTGTTCCTGCTTTTGCCATGTCGCATCAAGTAACGGAAGGGAATGTGAGTCCCCACAAGTATAGAGAGACAGGCATGTGTGTGAACATGACAGCTGCAGCAGCTCCACATGTAGAGACATGAATGTGATCAGAGCATCCTTCAGACTGAACCTCCATTTCAAGCAGCAGGTCTGCCCAAATCACCCAGAACCTCCAGATGTAAAATTATTTTTTTAAATGTAATTTTTTATATAAACCAACTCAGGAAGAATAGCTAATGAAGCATGCTGCTGTTGCCAGCATGTTTCTGAAACATAAACCAGTGAACAAATTCCTGCATGTTCTCCAACATTAGCCCAGAAAAACTTTAATTAAAATAATTTATGCTTGGTTTATTGAGTAGGTAAAAAAACCCCCCAAAAAACATCCTTTTAGTTTTTAAAAAATTATATATTTTTGGCATGTGAATACTTTTGAGCTGATGATTTTGGCCCACATGACAAAAATATTGGACATCCCCTTGTCTAAAACGAACTATTAGAGAAAAGTAGAACTGAAAAAAGTAGACCACGAACATGTCCTCACTTCCCACAGTGACCTCAATTTATGGGTGGATATGTTTATAGTGATCCTCTAAATGCACTAAGTACAAGAACACACACACACACACACACACACACACAGTTCTGTGAGGATCAGAAAGAAGAAGATGACCAGCTGCTGATTGTTAGAAATGATTTATTGTCAAACATCTAAATATCCAGAGACACTGAGACAGACATGGTCATGAGTTAACATCCAGATCTGGGAGGAAATGTCTTCACGCGCACACACACACACACACACACACACACACACACACACACACTCTCATCCTCTGCTTAGCAGGACCTGACACATTTAACTACCTTCAGCTCCTAATCACTATGACCTCCAGGATGGCCTCCAGGAGGATCAGTACCTGCTCTGATGGACCTCTGCTCCTGATTTCATCTTATTAGTTTCAAACAGAATTGAGTCCATTGGCGGTTCTGATCCAGTTTCTGATGGAACACATGAAGCTTCCAGCTGGGATTCTGAGACAAGTGGTTTGTGGACATCTGAGTGAGATGCAGAGACACACCGTCCCTTCATCTGATGGACAGACCTGTCCAGCTTCAGAGGGACAGACAGAGGAGGACAGCAAGGAAGAGGAGGACAGATGAAGGACGGATGGAGAGTCAGAGATGGAGGACTGATGAGTGGACCAGTGGATGGACTGGGGCAAGGGGACATATGGACAACTGTCCCTCAGCCCATGTATGGGTACTTCCACTCTGTGAGGGGAACATGAGTCTGCTTCACCACCCGGGGAGACGTCCACCTCAGGACGTAGTGAGGACCGCCGGGCTTATCGTTGGTACCTGGTGGAACAGGTAGACATCCGTCAGT